GGGCATGGAGCCTCCTTAAGATTCTCTTTCTCCCTCTCCCTTTATCCCACTCCTGTTCACACTCTCTAAATAAATAAATTAAATAAATAAATAAATAAATTTAAAAACAATCAGAAAAGTCATTACATTAATATTATTTTACCTTTTTAATACAGTTATAATTCCTATCAAGCAACCGTAAATTAGGACTTGATTTATATTACTACGCTACTTAACTTCCCCATAAATAATTATTATAAAATCATAAGATTATGTAAACCAAAGAAGGCAAAACAGAAATAAAGGCTTTCATGGTCACTATAAAACTTTATTTTTAAAAAGGGTACTAAAGTAATAAATCCACAATCATAGTTGGAAACTTTAACACCCCTTCTCAGAAATTGACAGAACAACCAGAGGGGAAAAAATGGCAAAGATACAGAACGTTAAACAACTTTACTTGGAATGAGTAAGTCAAGGGAACAAAAAGTACAGTATAGGGAACACAGCCAATGGTACTATAATAATGTTGTCTGGTGACAGATGGTAGCTACCATTTTGGTGAACACAGCATAACATACAGAGATGTTAAATCACTACGCTGTGCACCCTAAACTAATGTAACATTGTCTGTCAACTATACTCAAACAAAAAGAATTTTTTTAAACATTATCAACCACCTTGATTTAATTGATAGTTATAAAACACTTTATCTAACACAGAATACACATATGTGCACATGGAAAATTAACCAAGATAAGCCATACACTGGGTCATAAATAAGATAGTTTGAAAAGCTGAATTTTATAGAGTATGTTCTCTGTTCGCAATGGAATTAAATTAGAAGTCAATAAGTGTAAGCTATCTAGAAAATCTCCAAATATTTGGAAAGTAAACAATATACTTTTTACTAACCCAATATACTTCTAAATAACCCCATGCATCAAACAAAAAAAAATCTCAAAGGAGATTAGAAAAAATATTAACTGTACAGTAATGAAAATACATCATAAGATGAGAGCTGGAAAGAGAATTAGATACATAGGTGTAGGTGGGCCTTGGGAAAGGGAAAACTTTACCCTGTTCTTTGGGTTGAGCCCTGGGATCAGAGATAAGGTTTAGTCAAATCCCAGATGTGTTTCCTTGGCCCTTTTTTCCCTATGTAGTACAGTAGAAATGCAAGACTCCACATAAAAAACATTTCCATAAAGTATATAGGCAAAAAAAAAACAAAAAAACAAAAAAAAAAAACCCTTTAATATTAAAAGGTTTCCCTACCTCAAAATGATATAGAAGTCTCTGAGTGAGTTCTGAACCATACATTATTAGAACATAGACTAGAAATGGGCGCATTTACACTGAACCCATTAGAAATAGAAAGAAACACTGGGCCCATAGGGACCTCGGGAAGGAGAATAAGAACTAACTCAGAGGTGATCTTCATGGACTGATGACTGGGTTCCAGAGAAGACAAACTACTCAATGGGTGATATGAAGAATCAGATGTGCTCCCCAAATACCTGTGCACTGGTGTGAGAAGGAATGCCATTTAAGGTATCTTATGTACCTCTACATTCTCAAATTCAAAGCATCAGGATCCACTCTACTAGATGTGAAAACAAGAAATCTTTCATCATCACTTCCAAAGACAAAACCATGAAGGTGTCAAACAACTTAATTATCATCAGTCTGATGGGTTTTATTTCATTTTCCTGAAGGGTACCTTTCCCAGGCTCTCAGCTTCCATCTGTAGGACTGAGAGTCAAAACTCTTCATACCCTTGTTACAGATCAAGTCTGTCAACTCACAGTGGCCTACTTAACATTTAAAGGCAAAGTGTACTGAAATGTGACTGGTCACAAGCCCTCCCATAAGACATCCAGATGAATGGGGTGGAACTGGTTTTTACCCATCATAATTCTAGTGAGTTTTGTGTCCATTGTAGATCTTGTAGCAAGACCCAATCCAAGCATCAACATCAAGAACAAGCTAAGAGATTAATTCTATCTTCGTAGTGAACAAAAGATAGCTCATCTTTGCAGCTTTAATCACTATTTAGGTTATGTCTGGAAGCACATACCCTCTCGGCCACCAAGGACATCTGAAATTTCATGCATAAATTAATATTTTAGATTCTAATATCTTCTAAACTAATCCATCTTTATACTCAGAGCTTTCATAAGCCCATTAACCACTCAGTGCAAAATAGAAAAAAGACAATCTTCCTCAAAGTAATTTACTCCATCTGTTAAAAAACTGTCTACTATACTGATTTCACTAGACTAAGACATGTAACTACCATCTGCAGAAGCCTGACATCTGGCATTGACAAAATACAAAGAGGGTGAGGAACTGAGAAAATGAAACAGATACTACAAAAGGTAAACATTCACAGGGAAGGTTTCACATTAAAAAACTATAAAGAGAAGAGCAAACTAAACCCAAAATCTAAGGAAGAAACTACTAAAGAGAAGATGAGGTATAAATTAAACACAAAAGTGACAAAATCAAATTATAAGATTCTTTTAGAAAATTGACAACCCCCAAATTAGACTGATCAAGAAAAAGAGAATACCAATTACTGCTATTAAGAATAATAAGACATCACTATAGACCCTACAGACCTTAAAAAGTATAATGATACTATGAACATTATACCAATAAATTTGAAGTTTAGATGAAATGGATGTATTCCTTCAAAAACACAAATTACCAAAACTGACTCAACTAAAATGTTAGAAAACAATAATAGCCCTGTATCTATTAAATAAATTGAACTCCAAATTAAGAAGCAACCCAGAGAGAACTTCAGGCCAGTTGGTTCATTGGTGAACTCAATAAAACATTTAACAAATAAATAATACTCGTCACATACAAACTCTTTATTTAAGAAAGGAGGGGAAGAGGGAATACTATCAATTTATTTTTAAGACCAACATAACCATGATTCCAAAGAACACTGCAAACCAGTAGTCCTCATGAATGCAAAGAAAATTTTAAACAAAGTATTATCAAGTCAAATAGAGTAATATATAAAAAGAATAATACAGGATGATCAAGTGGGATTTATCCCAGGAAAGCAAAGTTATTTAATATTTAAAAAGCAATCAATAAAATTCACCATATTAACAGAATACAGGAGAAAAAACATACGATCATGACAATAGATGCAGAAAAAAGTTAATAAAAAAATTTAAGAAAACTAGCATATACAGAAATGTGCTCAATCTGATAAAGGAATCCACAAAAAACCTACAGCTAATTTCAAAATTAACAATGAAGTATTTCATGTTTCCTGCTCAAGGCTGGAAAGGAATCTACTTTCCTATCAAGGATATCTACTATCTTTTTACATTCAAATGTTCACCGGAGGTGTTGGCTAGCAGTAAGTCAAGAAAAAAGAAAAAACATCAGAGACCTACATACTGAAGAAAAAAAAAAAAAAGGATAACTGTTGCTATTCACATATATCAAGACTGTCCACTTGGAAAATTCTAAAAACTCTAGAAAACAAAAATGCAAACTTAACAAGGCTAGTCAATAGATAAGACTCAATTGTATGTTTATGCTAGCCACAAGTGATCACAAATTTATATTTAAAAAACAATTCCATTTGCAATAAAATTGAAAAACAAAGTTTCTAGGATTAAATTTAGCAACAGATATTCAAGATCCCTATTTTAAAAACAAGAAAATGTTGACCAGAGATATTAAAGACATAATTATTAGAAATATACTATGTTCACAGATTAGAAGACTCAGTATTCTTAAAACATTAATTCTCTCCCAAGTGAACTAGAGATTCACTGAAATTCCAATCAAAACCCAATAATTTTATTTGTAGAAATGGACAAGTTAATACTAAAATTTATATGTAAAAAAGCAATGAACTTAACCAAGACAACCTTGAAAAAGAATTAAGTTGGAGGGCTGATACAGCCTGATATCAATACCTATACCAAGAAGATACAAAAATTAAAATAGGACGGTATTGATGTCAGGATATCATATAGACACATAGACCAATAAAACAGAATAAAGCCCACAAATAAACTCACATATATTAGGTGAACTGCTTTTGACAAAGGCACCAAAGGCCACTCACTGGAAGAAAAAAGTTTTATCCACAAATGGTACCAAAACAACTTAATGATGTACAGGAAAAAAAGGTGATCCTGGACTCCATCTCAGACCTCTCACAAAAATAAGTTCAACATAGATCCTAGACCTAAATGTAAAAACTAAAACTGTAAAACTTCCAGAAGAAAACATAAGAGAATTCTTCATAAACCCTGGGGATAGGCAGAGGTTTTTTCGAAATGACACAAAACATTAAACATAAAATAAAAATAAATGGCAAATTGAATTCAAGCAAAATTTAAAACTTTTCACTGAAAGACATCACCAAAAAACAAAAAACAAAACAAAACAAAAAAAAAGCTGTTAGGAAAAGTCTTGATAATCTATTTGGTTAACTCACTGGCTATCTGGCAAAGAATCAGAACTTTGCATATATAAAGAACTCCTACAAATCAGTAATAAAAAGACCCAATGAGGAAAAATTTTGTAATAGGTGAAATAATTTAACAGACACTCCACAGTGAAGAAACGCAAATTAAACCCACAATAAAACCCCATTTCATATTCAATAAATAGCTAAAATTAAAGGACCAACAACACCAAATACTAGCAAGGATATGAAGCAATGAAACATTCCCAGTAGAAGTATAAAATGGTACAGCCATTTTGGGAAAAGGTTTCGTAATTTCTCATACAGTTAAACATACATCTACTCCACCACAGCCCTGTACTTTCACAAAAATACTTGTATAAGAACGGATAGCATCTTTATTCATAACACCTAAAAACTGCAAACAACCTGAAAATACTCACCAACAGAAAACAGATAAACAAACTGTAATGCATTCAGTGGAATAATATTCAACTATACAGACAAAACTAAAAATAGTGCATTGAGAAAAAAAAAAAAGCCAGTCATAAAAAAAAGAACATACTTGTATGATTTCATTTCAAAAACACACAACATTAATCTATGAAGACTGAAAACAGAACTGTGGTTTTCTACAAGGTATTGACTAGAAGGGCACCCGAGGAAACTCCATGGGTATGAAAATGTTGTGGGTGGGAGGGCATATTATTACACAGAGTATACGCTTACTAAAACTCAAAATTTTATATGTAAGATCTGTGCATTTAACAGTATGTAAATTTTACTTCAATAATTGTTAAAAGGTACACTGATTCTGGTGTTTCCCTTGTGTTCATAAATACGATCTGCCAAGATATACCACAAAGCTAAAATAAGTCATTTCTTGTAAGAAAGTATACATTCCCTACTTGGTATAGTCCCTCAACGCAGAAGCCTGATTGCTCTTGGGTGATATATATAAATACTCCTCTATTTGTTAATTTCAGAGTAATTTATTCAAATCAGTGAACAACTCAAAACAATTGCTTTAACCCAGATAAATGAATACCATATTACTGTTGAAAAGAGACTAGATGACCCAAATTTTCAGTCCTTTCTAGTGAAGGTAAATTTAACCATACTATGATGGTTTTATTTTTCATTCAATATTAACATCAGATTATAGAACCAATAGGAAAAAACATTTAATAAATCTTTAAGCACTGTGATAGCAAAACTGAAATCCCAAGAGTTTTTTTTTTTTTTTTTTTTCAATGTTTATTCATTTTTGGGACAGAGAGAGACAGAGCATGAACGGGCGAGGGGCAGAGAGAGAGGGAGACACAGAATCGGAAACAGGTTCCAGGCTCTGAGCCATCAGCCCAGAGCCCGACGCGGGGCTCGAACTCACGGACCGTGAGATCGTGACCTGGTTGAAGTCGGACGCTTAACCGACTGCGCCACCCAGGCGCCCCAAGGGGACCAAGAGTTTTTAAAAATGTTTGAGAGAGAAAGAGAAAATGGGAGCGCGCGCGCGCACACGCGCGCACACCCCCCCCCCCCACACACACACACAATGGGGGTGGTGGGCACAGAGAGAATCCCAAGAAGGTTCTGTCAACGCAGAGCCTCACACAGGGCTTGATCCCACAAACCATGACATCATGACTTGAGCTGAAATCAAGAGTGGCATGCTTAACTGACTGAGCCTCCCAGGCACACCTGAAATCAGAAGATTTTAACACTTAGTTTATAATCCTCTCCCTTAAGTAGTTTAGCTTACATTTCTTTCTCCACTTCAAGTTGTTTACTCAATTCTGTGGCTCTAAGCTCTAAATCTGTATTCAGCTGTCTTTGCAGTTGTAGATCCTGCAAAGCTTGCTCCTTGTTTCCTTTAACTTCAAGAGTATCAGCTTCTAGTTTCTATGAAAGAAACAGAATACAGTAACCATTTTAATGTCAATAATTATCCATTTATTATTAAATATAACATTTTTGTTTATACTCAAATTGGTGTTGACATAACACAGAGTAATAACCATAAAATGTTTATGTTATAACAAAAAACACATTTTCCATTCTTTTTTTTTAATTTTTTTTTCAACGTTTTTTATTTATTTTTGGGACAGAGAGAGACAGAGCATGAATGGGGGAGGGGCAGAGAGAGAGGGAGACACAGAATCGGAAACAGGCTCCAGGCTCCGAGCCATCAGCCCAGAGCCTGACGCGGGGCTCGAACTCACGGACCGCGAGATCGTGACCTGGCTGAAGTCGGACGCTTAACCGACTGTGCCACCCAGGCGCCCCCACATTTTCCATTCTGAAGCCACTACTGAGTAAAGGAACTATTTATTTTGGAATCTTTCAGAGGACCTACCAGCAGGCTTTGTACATGACAGGCAGTCACCAAGTTTCTGTTTTTTAAAATTAACTCTAGGGGCGCCTGGGTGGCGCAGTCGGTTAAGCGTCCGACTTCAGCCAGGTCACGATCTTGCGGTCCGTGAGTTCGAGCCCCGCGTCGGGCTCTGGGCTGATGGCTCAGAGCCTGGAGCCTGTTTCCGATTCTGTGTCTCCCTCTCTCTCTGCCCCTCCCCCGTTCATGCTCTGTCTCTCTCTGTCCCAAAAATAAATAAACGTTGAAAAAAAAAAAATTTAAAATTAACTCTAAATAACAGAATAAACTTAAAATAATTGTGTCTATTGCTAGGGTAAAAGTTATTAAGTCAAGTACGAAAAAACTAGGTAACAGGTTCATACATAGGCTCATTAACATATATTATCCTTTATATCCAGTAAACAACACTGATGTAATTGTAAATATTCAAAACTAAAATGGAGTTGTCATATCACCCTTCTCCTTAGTACCTATTGCCGCTAAATATAAAGACAGCTGAATTCCTGATATTGCACCTTTAAATTCTCGGTTTAGAGACTGTTGTTCCTCACAGTGTAGTTTCTGTCTCATACATACACATATAACTGTGTGCATTTTTGAAAATTTGCAAAATCAAACTGTTAAATATAAAGTTTGAATATATAGGAGTAATGCATTTTCTTGCATAGTTGTAATAATTTTGCACCCTAAATATTTTATAAACCAACCTAGGTATCTATAGCTCTTACGCAACTCTTACAATAGATTTTGATGCAACTGTAAAATTTTGTAACAAATAATTACAAAAAACATATGGAATACTCCCTAAAATAATTACCAAATGTTAAAGATCTGATTATCACAAGAGACACTCTCGGTTCTAAACAATTATTTGTAAAAGATACACAAAAAGAATTCTCATTGGATACTTTTCAGTAAAATCGTTTTTCTGTTCTTTTCAAATTATTACAAAAAGTAATGTGTCATTACTATCATCATTGGCTATAAAGAAAAAGAAACTCATAAATAGAATTAAAAATGTAATTCTTCTTCCATGTTATATTGGTGTGGATATACACATATACATGTACACATCCAATAGTTCTACAGAAGTGTTCTGTTTGTGAAGGTATAATTTACATATATATAGTAATTTGAGAAATCTTTGTTTAATCAATAGTAGATCCCATTTCAAGGACAAAGGACTCAGGTCAAACCCTTGTCTGATAGGTCTACTCATTTAATCTCTTTAGTACATCAACAATTTCACTTGGAATTGAAGTTAAGAAGCAGTTTACCACAGCATAAACTTATTATTAAACTAAAGACAAAATCCAAAAGATATAAATGTAAAATTTAAAAAGTGAAGAGGTCTGTCATATGTGAAATATATTCTGAAATAAGGAGGGAAGGAGATAGGAATGATGGAACAGAAGAGGCTTCATAACAACAACAACAACGACAACAAAATGGTAAGTTCCTTGTAATTACAGAGTAAATCCCTGGTTGGTTGTTTTTTTTGAAACATTACAAAGGAACCAGTATAACTGTCATTTGTAAAAGCCACTCATTAATAAAGAAATTAAAATTAAGAATGGAATTCAAAATTAAGACCAGAAAAATTCCAGGTAATTTAAAATTCTATAACACAACTTCACCTTTGTTTGCAAATTTAAAACCTTTGATTCCTTCTAGGTCATCAGTTTCCATTACTACAGTAGCAGAAAATATAAGTAATACACTCAATATCTTTTATACAAACCTTAATTTGACCTTCTAATTCTTCAGTTTTTTGTTCTAAAGAAAGGTGTTTCTCTTTATATTCTTTAAGATGACTTTCCAACTGACTGCAATGTTCTTGCTTATCCTGTAACTTTGCAGTGACTTGATCCAACTGAGTAGTGATCTTATTTAACTCCTATAGAAAAGTACAATTGAAAACTTTGGTAAGGTTTTCTTTCTTGTATTCCCAAATGTTTGATCAAAGTACTGCTGAAAACTCATTAATTCTATTTAAGAAACTATTTGAAGGTTAAGAAACTATTTGAACTATCAGAGGTTATTTTACCAGTACAAAGGACCTGAACTGAAATTGTACATAGCATGAGATATTAAGTTTATATGCATCACCACTTAACTTTTTCTAGAAAGAGTTATTTTAGGACTCAAAAGACACAATAGAACATTAAATATACTAATAATAAAATAACACTTTTATATTATAATTAAATGTTTTCAATGTTCAAGATGCTATTTTTATGTTGGGATGAGCACTGGGTGTTGTATGGAAATCAATTTGACAATAAATTTCATATTTAAAAAAAGATGCAATTTTTAAAAATAACATTTAAAAACTATTACAGTGACTACATCTATGAAACTTGTTCATTTGTAATATCTAGAGGCACTGAAAGAATTAAAATCACTAGTAAACCCACCACCCACAGATAATCACTATTAATGTTTTGATAACTTTCCTTTCAGTCTTTTCTGTATGTTTCCATTTTTTAATTTACACTTTTGTTTTTACTTGATTTACTATTGGTATTATTTCTTTTTTTTTAATATGAACTTTATTGCCAAATTGGTTTCCATACACCCAGTGCTCATCCCAACAGGTGCCCTCCTCAATGCCCATCACCCCTTTCCCCTCCCTCCCACCATCAACCCTCAGTTTATTCTCAGTATTTAAGAGTCTCTTATGGTTCGCCTCCTTCCTTCTCTGTAACTTTCCCCACCCCTTCTCCTCCCCCCACCCCCATGCGCCCCGGTCTTCTATTGAGTTTTTCAGGATCCACATATGAGTGAAAACATATGGTATGTGTCTTTCTCTGCCTGACTTATTTCACTTAGCATAAACTCTCCAGTTCCATCTACGTTGCTACAAAAGACCAGATTTCATTCTTTCTCATTGCCAAGCTGCTAGGAATTTACCCAAGGGATACAGGAGTGCTGATGCATAGGGGCACTTGTATCCCAATGTTTATAGCAGCACTTTCAACAACAGCCAAATTATGGAAAGAGCCTACATGTCCATCAACTGACAAATGGATAAAGAAGTTGTGGTTTATATTTGCACTTTTAAAATAGAAGTAGAACCTCACTTTACATACTACAGGTTTGTAAGCCATACAAAGGTTTTATTATAACCTTTGTTTTTACATAACAATGCATCATGAAATTGTGTCATTATTTTCTAAAATATTGTATTTGACTGAATAAATTCCCATTTTATTGATTCAGACCTTTTATTAGCTAAATGTCCTATTTTAGATTCTTAGATTGCTACTAAACTTTCCGTATTTTATTAACAGAAATGTAAATAGCATCCTAAAAGCTATGATTATTCCCTTAGCATAAACAACTAAAAGTGAGCTAAGGAATATGAAAAACCCTAAAGTTCTTGAAATATATTGGCAAACAGCTCTCCCTATCACCATTAAAAGGTTGAACTTACCTACCACCAGCAACGTATGAAAGTGACTTACTCTTCCTCTTCTACACCATCTCCAATCCTTCCAGTATTAAACAAACACATTTCACCTCAACAAGGGCATACTGTCTTAATTTACAATTGATTGTCTTAATTTACAATTGATTCTTAATCTGAACATTCACTAATATATTTTTGATCATTTACTCTTCTGTAGCTTCATGCAATTCCTATCTGTTTTAAATATCGAAGATATTAATCCTTCATTGGACATATTTCAGAAAGTGTATTATTCCTTTGCTATGTGCTTTCTAATTTTGTTAGTAATATTTTTGGCAAAAAATTTTTAAACTTTTATGTGATTATTCTTATCAATAATCTTTTCATTACAGTTTCTAGCACTGATCTTGTGATTAGATCATATTTTCCAGATGTATGTAGCAATGAGTAAAAAGTTGCAAAACATGCATACACAGTAATTCTACGTGCATAAAAGAAAATATTAGTGTGTGTGTGTTACATATGAACATACACACACATATCTGCCCAATGCTTATAGAACTCTGGACAGGTACATACCAAATTTAAGAGCAAACATTCCCTCTAAGAAGGAATATAGGACTGAAATTTAGGGTAAATATAGAAAACAAAGCTTTTATTTTGTTAACTTGATATATTACTAGATTGATTAAAAAAAAATTAGGCCAACAACCAGTGTTACCACTCAGATAAAAAGTAAATTTAAAAAATGTCATTTGCGGGGCGCCTGGGTGGCGCAGTCGGTTAAGCGTCCGACTTCAGCCAGGTCACGATCTCGCGGTCTGTGAGTTCGAGCCCCGCGTCAGGCTCTGGGCTGATGGCTCAGAGCCTGGACCCTGTTTCCGATTCTGTGTCTCCCTCTCTCTCTGTCCCTCCCCCGTTCATGCGCTGTCTCTCTCTGTCCCAAAAATAAATAAACGTTGAAAAAAAAAAAAAAAAATTAAAAAAAAAAAAAAAATGTCATTTGCTAAAAGGGAAGAAAAATCTATCAGCATTTTGACCTTGGCCCTTAAGTAGGAAGCCTTTATTCTATTAGAAGTATTGAGAAAAGTAACTTATGTATTCCCTGCAGCCCTACTTATTCTTATCCCCAAAATAAAAGAGGAACTCTTACTGCATTGGAATACATGGTGCTCTTTTCCTGCTTCCAAGAGGTAAGTAAATCTAGGTCATGGCCCAGATTACCTACTAAGAACAGGTGTGAGAGTCTGTCTCCCTTTACCAATCATTGGCACTTGATGCAATGAAGCAACAATTCAACAATTAGGAACAGATATTTCAGCTGCACACCTCAGTCAACACTAAGGACTAATACAAAATTAAGAAGCCCAACCATGCTTACACACCAGTTGCGCTTTATCAAAAACAAAAATGATATTTTTATCCTCATCTGTCTGACTCCTGCATCTAGAACTGGTTCTGAACTCAGGCAGAAATTAAGGGGAATAAACAAGTAGATCACAATATTAATAAAATTGAGTATCACTTTCATACATGTTTGCAATTAATTTATCTACCAAAACATTAGGTTATGGGATGAGACTGTATCATGTTCACCTACCTGCTGTTTATCTTGTAATGCATTTTGGGCTGTGTCCAAATGATTCTGAAGATCTGCTCTTTGAGCAGTTTTTGCTGCTTCTGCTGATAGCAATAATTCAGTTTTGGCTTTAATCTGTAACAAAATTTGCCAGTCATTTAATGTGTATTTATTTCTTGATTTTCTCTTGCTTCAACATGCATTGCTTTTGTCAAATTATTTTAAAAATTAAGCCCTTTGGCAAAAAAAAAATAAGGATTTAGACACTGAAAAATAAGTATGTAATAATCCCAAAACAGGAATGAATATGGGAGAAAAGACTCCTAACAATTTTTGGACAAATGACGAGATTTATTATGATATATATATGTCCCTATATGACACCAAAACACTTCTCCCTCTTTCAAACTGGACTTCCAAATATTGGGTTATCATGTAACCCACCTAACAAATATTTATATTTTAATTAGAAAGAAATGTGTATCCTCTTCCTCCAAGTTAATATGCATGCCTGTTATTTTATATTTCTTACTTTCAATAGAATTGTTTTCCTAAAATAAAGAAAATCAAGGCTTAGATATGTTTCTATAACTTTCTCTACTATAGTATAGAATAGGAAATCAACGATGACAATGGAAAAAGAAACACATTTTAATTCCCACCCCGTCACTGATGCATTGAACGTGAATTCTGTACTGGCCTCTGAAAGAAGGTTATTAAAAATATATAATGGTAGCATATAAAAGTATTTTTTTAATCTAACCTTTAAAGTAAAATTTAAAAATCAAAAAGTATTTAACATAGAAATCTAATGGTGTAATATCAAATGACTGAATTTCAAAAACAATAATAAGGACTTCATGGAAAAAAAAAAGAAAAGCAAAAGGCTCTGGTGGTTTCAGAAGGTGTAGTTTGCCAGAAGAGATAAAGAGGGAAAAAGGCAAACAGGAAAGCTAAACAAACTGTCTAGATAGCACCTTTATTTAATTCTTGTTCCCAAGGTTTTTCCACTACTAAGTAAAGCAGAGAGGGAGAGAGAGAGGTCGGAGATTAGAGGGAGAGAGACAAAGAGACAGGGAGACAGAAAGAGAGATGGAAAGACAGAGACACAGGGAGAAACAGAATTTAAAACATTTGATGGCCTCAGGGAAATACGAATCAAAACCACAATGAGATACCACCTCACACCTGTCAGAATGCCTAACACTAACAACTCAGGCAACAACAGATGTTGGTGAGGATGCGGAGAAAGAGGAACCCTTTTGCACTGCTGGCGGGAATGCAAACTGGTGCAGCCACTCTGGAAAACAATATGGAAGTCCCTCAAAAAATGAAAAACAGAACTACCCAATGAGCCAGCAATTACACTACTAGGTACTTATACAAAGGATATAGGAGTGCTGATTCAAAGAGGCAAATGCACCCCAATGCTTACAGTAGCACTATCGACAAGAGCCAAAGTATGGAAAAAGCCCAAATGTCCATCGATGGATGAATGGATAAAGAAGATGTGGGATATATATATAAATATCTATCTATATATATGTAGATATCTATAATGGAATATCACTCGGCAATCTAACAGAATGAAATCTTGCCATTTGCAACAATGTGGATGGAACTAGAGTATACTATGTTAAGCGAAATTAAGTCAGAGAAAGACAAATATATGATTTCACTTATATGTGGAATTTAAGAAACAAAACAGGAACACAGGAGAAGGGAAGGAAACATAAGATAAAAACAGAGGGAGATAGGGGCGCCTGGGTGGCTCAGTCGGTTGAGCATCCAACTTTGGCTCAGGTCATGATCTCAACTCAACATTCCGGAGTTCGAGTCCCACATCGGGCTCTGTGCTGACAGCTCAGAGCCTGGAGCCTGTCTCAGATTCTGTGTCTCCCTCTCTGTCTCTGCTCCTCCCCTGCTCGTTCTCTCTTTGTCTCAAAAAGAAATAAATATTAAAATTAAAAAAAAAATAAAAAAAATAAAAAAACGGAGACAAACCTTATATAAGAGACTCTTAAATACAGAGAACAACTGAGGGTTGATGACGGGGTGTTGGGTGGAGGGATGGGCTAAATGGGTGATGGGCATTAAGGAGGGCACTTATTGGTATGAACACTGGGTGTTATATGTAAGTGATGAATCATTAAATTCTATTCCTGAAATCATTATTACACTATATGTTAACTAACTTGGATTTGAATTTAAAAAAAATCTACAGTCTTAAATTTTTGATGGCCTACAATTGGTGTTTTATTCAGAAAAACTCACATTAAATTGAATAATTCAAAATTACCTGTATGTCAAGCTGGGAGACCTTCTCCTTGCTCTCATTTAATTGACTATTTAATTCATTGACACTAGTTTCTAAGGAAAGGACACGGTCTTGTGCAGCTCTAAGATGTGCCTTCTGCTCTTGCACTTGGTCATGCAAATTCTCCTGGGCTTGTTTATGGCTTTCTGACTGATTCTTCAGCTTCTCTGTTAGTTGAGTTACCTATCATACAAGGAAGACTAATTATGAAGGTCACAAATGATATAAGAAGAATTAAAAAAAAAAAACAAATTTAAGGACCATGAGAGTATTAAAGTGCTCTATAAGTTATCTCATATTTTTAAGAAAATTTATTCATCTTTCCACAAATAAGTAAATAATCTTGCAAAATCATAAGAAAACAACATCAATTCAGAGATTCCTATTATTTTTAAAACCATCTCTACTGAGCTAGAATTTACATGAAATAAAATTCACCTAGTTTAATTGCACAGCTTGAGGAGATTTGACAAATATATACACTCACTTAACCATTGCCACAATCAGATAGAGAACATTCCGATTACCCCAAAAGGTTTACTCATGCCCCTTTGCAGTCAGTACTCTCCACTCATCTCTAGCCCCAGACAATCATGGATATAATTAATACGAGTTCCTTATATATTCTGAGTATTTCTGAATTGTCAGATATGTGTATTTCAAGTATTTTCTCCCACTCTGTCTTGACTTTTATTTTTGTAACAGTATCTTTTGAAGGGTAAACAACTCTAATTTAGATGAAATCCGATTCATCTAATGTCTCTTTGGTGCACCTTGCTTGGAATTCAATGAGTTTCTTGAATCTGTGCATTCATATTTTTAATCACATTTAAATTTTTTCAGCCATTATTTCAATAAATATTTTTCCCCTCCCCACTTTTCTGTCACACCAATTATATGTATGTTAGATTACATGATCTTGTCCCACAGGTCACTAAAGCATAGTTTTTTGGTTTTTAGCCCAGTCTTTTTTCTCTCTGTGCTTCCTTTTGGACAGTTTCAATTGCCTTGTCTTAATGTTCACTTCTGTTTTCTATTTGGTTGATTAAGCACATCCAATGAAATTTTAATTCCATATATAGAGAGAAAAGTTCTATTTCTTTTTTTTTTAATCATTTCCACTTCTATTTCCATTATAGTTTTTCCTTTACAACCATAAGCATATTTTAAGAGCCATACATGTTTTCTTCTTTGAATGTCTAGAAAGTTTTGATATTTATGGAAATAAATCTTGACTTTGTTGCCTTCTTTCAAAAATGCTTAATTTTGTCCCAGCAGGCAGTTAACCCACACATGGCTCAGCTGGATCTTCTGAGGCTTGTTTTCATGCTTTGTTAAGTCAGGTGTACACCAGCTTTTACCCTAGGGGCTGGTTTATCTTTATCCCAAGGTGTGACATTTCCGGGGTTTCTACTAAATGGCCCCAAAGTGCTCAATCACGTCTTTGTTCTCTTGCATAAACATCTCCAAGCTCTGATAATTTTTCTGTTTGCAACTCCTAACAATTGTTCATTGCCTGGCCACATGAAATCCCACATAAGAATGCAAAGTTTAGCAGTCAGCTGAAGGCTTAAGTTGATCCCTATGCAGATTTTTAGAGCTTCTTCTCTCCACTGTTTCCTCCTCTCTGATATTCTGCCCCACAATTTGAGGTTCCTCAACCTTCCTAAACTTTAATCTCTTAGTACTCTGTTCAGTGAGACCACTGTGCTTTCCTTGGATTCCCCCAACCTACACCAGTCTGGAAAATGCCTCTGGGTTACCAGAAGATGGAATGGTCAAAAGGTTCACTTCCCTTGCTTCTCTTCTCTCAGGAATCAAACCCCTGTATTGCTTGTTGTACAGTATCTGAAAATAGTGATTTGATACTTTTTTCTAGTTGTTTATGGTGAGAGGACAAAATAGGTATCAGTTACTTCAACATGGCCAGAAGCACAAATAACATAGATTTATTTTTATTTATTATTTTAAAAAGAATTAGAGGAGTGCCTGGGTGGCTCAGTTGGTTAAGTGTCCAACTCTTGGTTTCACTCAGGTCATGATCTCATGGTTTCTGGGTTCAAGCCTCTCACCAGGCTCTGCACTGACAGTGTGGAGCCTGCTTGAGATTCTCATTCTCTCCCTCTCTCTGCCTCTCCCCAGCTTGCGCTCTCTCTCAAAATAAATAAATTTTAAAAATAAAATAAATAAATAAATAAAATTTAAAAAGTGGTTGTTACTTACTGATATTTTGTTTTACTATTTTCTCATTTAGATAATTATAACTCTCTTACTGGGCAATTCTTCCAAAAAAGCAACTATAAATTCTTTCAGTTTGAAAATGGATTAAGCCAAATTTTGTTAAGTTTCTCTTAAACTACATATGAGCAACTTATCAAAATTATTATTAGCTATGTGTTCCAAAGACATAATTACCAAAATATAAGTAACTAGTAAGCCTGCATATTAACCAATACATAATAATAACTAGCAGTTGATTAGTGCTTTTAGTTTATAAATATAATTTATTATTCTTTTTCTTTTCAAAACATCACAAAATTCCATGAGGCAAGTATGTATTATTAACACCATCTCTATTTTTCTAATGAGCTAACAAGATGAAATTACTTGCTTGTGGTCACACAGGTAGTAGGTTATATACTGGGACATGAACTGAGATCTTTGTCAAATCATGCTAACTTACTTTTACTACAATAGCAACCCATCTCTAAGGTAAATTGGATGGTATTTGTCAAAAAAACCATAATATTTAAAAAGTACTAATAATAACCAGAATGAAGAGGCATTTAAATAAAGTACTCAGCAATATTTAGAAAGATAAAAGTGAGTTTTAGAAACAGAACACATTTGGGGCACCTGGGTGGCTCAGTTGGTTAAGTGTCCAAGTCTTGATTTCGGCTCAGGTCATGATTTACTGGTTCATGAGTTTGAGCCCCACATCAGACTCTATGCTGATGGCGCAGAGCCTGCTTGAGATTCTCTCTCTCCCTCTCTCTCTGCACCTCCTGTGCTCATGCACACTCTCTCTCTCAAAATAAATAAATTTAAAAAGAAAAACAAACAAAAATAGAAATAGAACACATTCGACAGGCTTACTTGTTCCTGTAAGGTATGGTTTTTTTCTTGTAACTGGTTGAGAACAGCAGTCTCTCCTTCACCAGCCTGAATTTTTGCATAAAGATCTTCTCTTTCTTTTTCTAGTAAGGAAATATTTTCTTTACTCTTCTGTAATAAGGCTTCAAGGTTCTGGATCTTCTGGTCCTTATCGCCAATTTGACGTAGTACTTGTTCTAAATCATTCTGTAAAGAAGTGAAAACTACTACCTTAACGATAGAGAACTTAAAAAGTTATTCCTCAAACAGAAAATGACTGATAATACATTGTACAACTCAAATTCTGAGTCTTACGTCTTTTTCTACTCGTTACATTTTAACACAGCAAACTTAAGTAATTAGAACTATGTGTTTAATAATATAAATCTATATTATCAATAGTAAACTAGAATTTAACCCCCCCAAACCTTCAATTAACCACATTCTTACTCTAACACTCTGACCTCATTGCCCAGTACCCTCTTGTTTAATCCATTTCAGACACATGGGACTCTCCTTATTCCTTCATCACACCAGGAACACTCCCACCTCAGGGCCTCTGAACTCACTGTTTCTTCTGTCTAGAATACCTCTCCCACAAGGTCACATGGCTCATTCCCTCTCCTTCAAATGTTTGTTCAAGAGATGCCTGGGTGGCTCAGTTGGTTAAGCATCCAGTTCTTGATCTTGGCTCAGGTCATGATCTCATGATCCGTTGGATCAAGTCCCATTGACAGCACAGAGCCTGCTTGGGATCCCTCTCTCCCTCTCTCTCAGCCCCTCCCTGACTAGTGCACATTCTCTATCAAAAAAATAAATAAATAAATAAACTTACAAATAAAAAAATGTTTGTTCAAATGTCACCTACTCAATCAGGCCTATCCTGACCACTACATTTAAAATTGCAGCCTTTCCCAATATTCCTTCTCCTGAATATTTTATTTCTTTCCATTGCACTTATCTTTTGACACGATAAATTATTTATTTATTTTTCATGTTTATCTGCTTCCCTCCACCTCACTAGAATATATGCTCCACAAAGATTAGGATTTTTGTCTGTTTTATTCGTTGATGTATCCAAGACACAAATGTTCTACGATATTTGTTGAATGAACAGAAAAATAAAGGGTTGAACTCTAACACACACATACTCATGAAGGCTCACTTCAATACCCCAAGAGGAATCTTCTATCGATACATCAAGGGATCCCTCTTCTTTTACTTTACCGAGGGTCTTAGTGTCACACAGAGCACGGTGTATTAGCCCACATCCAGAACAATGTCCATTAATATTCTGGAGCTATCCGACCCACATTCTTTGGCTCTGCCTCACTTCTCCCCAAAACCAGGTCCTAACAAGCCCTTCCACAAACCTTATACCCCATACCACCTTGCTCGGACAGAGTCAGCAACTACCTGGTACTGGTACTCTCCAAAATTTGCACCAATATTACACTATTTGAGATCACTTTCAAACATGTTTCTCATCTAAGTTTCAATCACAAAATGATGAAAGGCAACCTACCTCTCTGCTCTCATTCTCTACTCCTGCCACTAATGACCCCCTTCTCCACATCCCACTCATCTTCTGGAACCACAGTTCCAGGCCTAAGTTTTGTTTCCAGAACAGTCAGAACTGAAATTTTTAGTTCACCCTTTATAGATGCTGATTCCCCTTCAACACTCTCAGATACCTAAGGACCATTCTGCTGGGCAAGCAGGGGAGGTTGACTTCTTCCTGGTTTTTCACCACCATAGCTCTCCCCCTCATGTAAAAGCTTCATGCTGCTTTGGGAAGTATGTCGTTCATTTATTCTAGCTTCTATTCTGTGTTGCTATTATCTATAAATCCCTACCTCATTCACTGAAGACTTGAGACCTGATTTAGTCTTTCTCTCAATCCCAATTTCTGCCAATTTCCTGGGAAATACAAAATACACAAAGAATTAAGAGCACAGCCTCAACAGTCATATCATCTTAATTCCTGGACCTCATTCTATTCACTCACTCACATGTATGATCTTGTAATCACTTGAAATTGTTCCAGATGAAAAATTTCAACTGTCCTACTCTGTGACCACAACTTCCTGACCATCTTCCAATTTCATGACCTCATTTCTGTTCTTCAATGCAATGCCAAAGAGACACTGACCTCAATTTTCTTCTGACTTATATAGCACATGCCTCATTTCTCTTCCTGAACCTCATACATGGATATGAACTAACTTAACTATCCTCTCAACTATTCAACATTCTCCATTTCCTTGCACCTACAAATTCCCCACACAGCCACCCTAAAAAAGCCCAATCCTAGATCAGTGTTGCAATCTTCTTACTCCACACCTTCATTTCTAAGAACTGTTAGAGCAAAATCACAAACCTTCAGAGATTGGTGCCACTACAAAGTCTAGATCGCAACCTCCATTATATACTTAAAATCATCTTGTCAATCCTTTCACTTGAGTAAGATTCTTACCCCCAAACATTCCCCTCAATAACTATTTAAAAGCTTCAAGGGGCACCTGGGTGGCTCAGTCAGTTAAGCATTCGACTTCAGCTCATGTCATGATCTTGCAGATCGTGAGTTTGAGCCCTGCACTAGACTCTGCACTGGTGGTGTTGAGCCTGCTTGGGATTATCTCTCTCTTTCTCTCTCATCCCCTTCACCACTTTCACTCTCCCTTTCAAAATAAATAAATAAAATAAAAAATAAAAATAAAATAAAATAAAATCTTCAATATTCTCTCTAGATTTTTAAATCTCTGCCTGCCTTCCATTCAACTATCTCCAACTTTATCCATTAAAAAAAAAGGGAGGGAGAGGGTATCTTCAGGGATGATGCACATTGATTTTTCACTCTCTTATCTATAAAGATAGACAACAGACAGATAAATCCATATTTAGTTCCTTTCCTCAAGCTTCAAAGAATATCCTTCAGAGAATAAGTTCAAATTTACCACCACCCACTGTATCAATGACCCCACAGCTTATCAATACCCTATTCCTTCAGTCACCTCTCCTTCAATATCCTCAAATGACTCCTTCTCTCCCAGACTGTCCCAGACTATAAACATGTTCAGGTATCTCTTGTTTTCAAAACACTTCGCAGACCAAGCCCCACCCACTACTGTGCAGTCTTTATACAATTCATATTTAAATTTCAAAAGGAATTCAAATTTACTTTTGCAAATCTCTCATTTACTCATCAAAAATCAGCCTTTCATCTCTATCACTTTATTGCAATTACGTTTAGCAAGAATATGTAAGAATATTATATAAGAATCCTTCATATGTATAAGAATATACATTTATAATAAATAATTATAGCTTAATATCATGGACATTTTTCACTTATCATACTTGGCATCCCTATTACACATGCACATTTGAAGTTGCTGATTAATCTGAAATTTTGACTCTCCCATTCCTTTGGCTTCCACTTGGCAGGTTCTCCTTAATTACGCTGATCATGCTCTTCCTTTGGGGTGCGCTTCCTCCAATCCTCCATCCTGTTAGGTGCTAATGTTTCCCAGAAGTCTTGTGTTACCAGTTGTCTATTCTCCTCATTACACTCCCTCCCTGGCTGATCACATCTATTCTAATAATTCCATTTACCCCATATATACTGTGATGTTTCTCACAGCTTTAAATGAATATATACTATAGGTACCTCAACAACGTCCAATATTGAACTCACAACACTGCCCAATGAAATGGCCATTTGTCTCAGATGCACTAACAAAGTTGATGACACCTCCATTTACCATGTACTCAGTGTTATCACTCTGGAAGTCATTTACTTTCTTTCTCATTCCCTGCAACTATTAAGTCCTACTTTTTTTTTTTTTTTTTTTTTTTTTTTTTTTTTTTTTTTTACTGCCCAGGTATTATTCATATTTGCCCTATAACATCTTTAACAATTGTTTGAACTAAGGCCATTATTATTTTTCATCCAAACTACTGCATATATTAGTCTTTTAACTGATCTCCTGCTTCAGAATATTCACTCTGAAATCCACCTTTCACACAACCACAGGAATAACTTATTTAAAAATCAAATCTGGGGGGTGCCTGGGTGGCTCAGTCAGTTAAGTGTCTGACTCTTGTTTTCGGCTCAGGTCATGATCTCACGGTTTGTAAGTTCGATCCCCACATAGGGTTCAGTGCTGATGGTGCGGAGCCTGCTTGGGATTCTCTCCCTCTCTTTCTGCCCCTTCCCTACACTCTGTCTCTCTCTTTCTAAATACTTAAAAAACAATAATCAAATCTGGCTATGGCACTTCTCTCATGACATTCAATACTTTTCTATCTTCAAGGACAAATGTCACACAAGACCTTCTATAAACTCACCCATGTCTAATGCTCTGGTCTCTTCTCCAATCTCAGTTTAGTTCATATCAGCTTCACTATCCTTGCCCTTTTAACTCCTTGATTCGGAGTATAATCTTTACTATCCCCATCTTCACAACCCAGGAACATCTGCACATGCTCTGCAACTCAAATTGTCACTTTTAAGAAGTTTCCAATGACTGCTCTTTTCCAGACTGAGTTAGAGAACTGTCCTCTGTGCTACCATAATAATTTTATACACATATATACACCTAGAACGACACTGATTCTACCTCTTTAATTAGTTTTTACGACTTCTGAAATTTCCATAATGAGAGACTTTGCCTGGTCTCTTTGTCATCCTTTTCTTATTCTTCTTCCCCAGGGAATGGGGAATTCAATTTAACCAACTGAAAGTCTGGAATAAGAAACTAAGCATGTTTTGCAGAAGAATGAACCTGGACCACTTTCTTACCCATACACAAAAATAAACGCAAAGTGGATGAAAGACCTAAACGTAAGACAGGAAGCCATCAAAATCCTTGAGGAGAAAGCAGGCAAAAACCTCTTTGATCTTGGCCACAGCAACTTCTTACCCAACACATCTCCGGAGGCAAGGGAAACAAAGGGAACAATGAACTACTGGGACCTCATCAAAATAAAAAAGCTTCTGCACAGCAAAGGAAACAATCTGCAAAACTAAAAGGCAAGCAATGGAATGGGAGAAGAAATTTGCAAATGACATATCAGATAAAGGTTAGTATCCAAAATCTATGAAGAACTTATCAAACTCAACACCCAACAAACAAATAATCCAGTGAAGAAATGGGCAAAAGACACAAATAGACACTTCTCCAAAGAAGACATCCAGATGGCCAAGCAACACATGAAAAAATGCTCAACATTACTCACCATCAGGGATATACAAATCAAAACTACAAGGAGATACCACCTTACACCTGTCAGAATGGCTAACATTAACAACTCGGGCAACAACACATGTTGGCAAGGATATGGAGAAAGAGGATCTCTTTTGCATTGTTGGTGGGAATGTAAGCTGGTGCAGCCACTCTGGAAAACAGTATGGAGGTTCCTCAAAAAACTAAAAATACAACTACCCTACGACTCAGCAATTGCGCTACTAGGCATTTATCCATGGGACACAGTTGTGCTGTTTCGAAGGGACACATGCACCCGCATGTTTATAGCAGCATTATCCACAATAGCCAAAGTATGGAAAGAGCCCAAATGTCCATCGATGGATGAATGGATAAAGAAGAGGTGGTAAATATATATACAATGGAGTACGACTTGGCAATCAAAAAGAATGCAATCTTGCCATTTGCAACTACATGGATGGACCTGGAGGGTATTATGCTAAGTGAAATTAGTCAGAGAAAGACAAAAATCCTATGACTTCAGTCATATGAGGACTTTAAGGGACAAAACATGAACATAAGGAAAGGGAAACAAAAATAATATAAAAACTGGGAGGGGGACAAAACAGAAGAGACTCCATAAATATGGAGGACCAAACTACTGAGGGTTGTGGGGGGGGCGGGCTGTTCGGTAAATTACACCCACTGAAATCATTGTTGCACTATATGCTAATTTGGATGTAAATTTTTAAAAATAAAAAATTAAATAAATAAATGGAAAGAAAGAAAGAAAGAAAGAAAGAAAGAAAGAAAGAAAGAAGCTAAGCATGTTTAATTCAGCCCCTTCCTTTCCCCTCAGTCTAAGAGACAACCTGCCTATAGAAGTTGAAAGCCTGTCATTTCCAGCTTTGTCTGTCATTGGATGAATAAATTTAATTCTGGGGCACACTATAAAAAAGCACACTTGGGGGGCGCCTGGGTGGCTCGGTCGGTTAAGCGTCCAACTTCGGCTCAGGTCATGATCTCACGGTCCGTGAGTTTGAGCCCCACGTCGGGCTCTGTGCTGACCGCTCAGAGCCTGGAGCCTGTTTCAGATTCTGTGTCTCCCTCTCTCTCTCTGCCCCTCCCCTGTTCATGCTCTGTCTCTCTCTGTCTCAAAAATAAATAAACATTAAAAAAAAAAGTTTTTTTTTAAAAAGCACACTTGGGGCTCCTGGGTGGCTCAGTCAGTTAAGCGTCCGATTTCAGCTCATGATAATCACAGTTCGTGAGTTCGAGCTCCACATCAGGATCCATGTTGACAGTGCAAAGTCTGCTTGAGATTCTCTCTTTCTCCCTCTCTCTCTGCCCCACCCCCACTTGTGTGCACCTCTCTCTCTCCCCCTCAAAATAAATGAATAAACTTAAAAAAAAAAGCCCACGGCTGCAGACCTATGCCAAATTCTCTACCTCAGTCTTACTACTCTATTTCTTTGCTACTCTTTATAGTAAAACTCCTACAGTTATCTACATTCATTGTATCAAACTTCTCTTGCCCCATTTTCTCTTGAACCCCTTACATCAGGCTTCCATTCCTACTTCTCTATCCAAGTTGCTCTTATCAATGTCATCAATGACCTCCATGTTGCCAAATCCAATAGATTCTCAGTCTTCATCTTGCTTGACCTCCATCCTCCTCATTAACCAGGCCAAACTTCTTGAAATCATCCTTGGCTTCTCTCTATATATATCCCACATCAATCTATTAGTAAATGTGTCAGCTTCACTTTTAAAATATATGTAGAATCTGACCATTTCCCATTACTTGCACTGTTTCTACTCTGATCCAAGCCATATGATCTCTATCTGGATTGCTGTAGTTGTTTCATAGCTAATTTCTTTGCTTATAATCACATGTCCCTACAGTCTACTCTCAATACAGCAGCCAGAGTAATCCTGTGAAATTATAAGTCAGATCATGTTACTCCTTTGCTCAGAACCCTGCAATGATTTCTCATGTCACTCACAGTAAAATCCTCAGAATTATCTATGAGGCTTGACATGTTACTCCTCTGTGATCTCCAGGACTCTGTGACCCTCTAACCCTCTCATGTCTCACACCACTCCAGTCACCAGCTTCCCAATAGTCCTTAGACATGTTCCTGCCTCAAGGCTTTTTAATGTATGGATGTTGTTCTCTCTGATATCCACATGCCTCACACTTTCTATTCCTTTGGCTCTTTCATCTTCTCAGAGAGGTCTTCCCTGGCAATCCTATCTCACACTGCAGTCCCACCTACAGCTCCCCAGATAATTTCTAATCTCCGTTCCTTTGTCATCTCCATAGCACTGACTGCCATCTAACACACCACACATTTTGCCTATTTACCTTGGCTATTGTTGGTCCCCCTCACTAAGCTCCATGAGAACAGACATTTTTGTCTGTTTCATTTGCTGTCTATTTCATTTGCTGTCACGTCCATAAAATCACTTCCTTGGCTAAGAGTAGATACTGAATAAATGAAAGAACGAGTACATGAATACAATAGTTTTATCTCTATCCATCTGACTCCCATCCCACTCTCGAAACTCAGAAGGGAAAGAGACATCTTACTTATAGCCTCCTTTAAGTAACTCCAACATTGTTTCTGTTTACACATCATTAGACTACCATTTTCTAGAAGGCAAGCACTTTGTCTTACCCATCTCTATTTTCAGTGCTTACCACAGTGCCTGACATGTAGTACTCAACAACATTCAATGAATTAATGAAAGACTGAAGGAATAAACAAATGTCAAAAGAGGGCACCCTCTTCCCCTCGCTGTAACAAAACGAAAATTTAACTTCTTTCAATCTTCTAAGCTATGCTATAGAATCTGTATAAATTTAACCTAATCACTTATATTTTCTATGCCTATAATTCCAATGTTCCTATGATGGTTCTAAAGCAGGAAAGACATGATCAACAAATACTAAGTTCTACTGTAGAATATACAAAATGTTCTTTTTTACTGGGCTAACTAAATCAGGAAATTTGTACTTGTTTTAATTTTTCAAATAAGGTACTTTTAAAAATAATAAATAATAAGCAGTAATATATTTCGTCTACATAATAAAAAAATTTAATAAAATTTAAATATTTTATATAAATAAGTACACTTACAATAGCAAATCTAGTTATAATAATTTTAAAATAGAAAATTTCAACATAGCAACCAAAAGAAAAAGATTTTCTGCTCATCTAGATACTGAAAATTATCAAAACCCTTCAGAGTCAAGTTTTTTGCATTATCCAGTTTTAGTACAACAAAAGAATAATGACCTGGTTAATTCCTGTTTAAAAGGCTAATAATTCAAATAATATTCACCTGAGCTTCTCGAAGTTTTGCTGTAGTGCTTTGCTGAAGGGCTTGTTGTTCTTGATGTTGTTGCTTCATTTTATCTAATTGATGCTGCAATTCTGTGGAATTTGTTACTTTTTCCTTCAACTTAAAAAAAATGTAGATTGTTAGTTAACAACTTAAAAGCATAATGCTATCATTCGTAAATATCTGGCATTACTTCAATTCTCAAAATTCTCAAGTCTGAGTAAAAACCTAAATTCAAGGGGGCGCTTGGGTGGCTCAGTCAGTTAAACATCCAACTTCGGCTCACACGGTTCATGGGTTCGAGTGCTGCATTGGGCTATGCTGACAGCTCGGAGTCTGGAGCCTACTTCAGATTCTGTGTCTCCCTCTCTCTCTGCCCCTCCCCACTCACACTCTCTCTCTCTCTCTCTCTCTCAAAAAATAAACATTAAAAAAAAAGAAAAAAACCCCTAAATTCAGACAATATATAAAATCAACTTTAAAAGCAATATCTCATTACTTATAGAATCCTAATCTCATGATTATGAAACTATTCCATAGGTATTCCTAGGGACTCATCCTAAGAACACAATTCTTTCTCTAGGTTGGCATTTAGTTTATTACTGCTTTTTTCTATACTAATATGATCAAGGAATTAATTACATACAATTTTTTTGTAACAACAATCTAAATCACAGTACCAATATTTGTTTTATTTTTTTCCAAAACAATCATAATTATCGCTTATTGGGAAAAAACAGAATCATCTACCATGTCCAAGATTCTGGGTCTAGAAGAAGATCCTAGCTTGATGAAGCTAGATGTAGTTTGATGCAGCTACAGATTTTAACTCTCATTGTTTGTTCAATTTTAGTATAAAAGACATAATTTAATGATAACTTTAACCAAATAATACTTACCATTTTTAGCAACCACACCTTTAATTAGAATAGCATTCAATCTTATGCTTTAATTGAAAGTGAAAATCCATAAGTGCAAACTCAAGGTTTATATGCACCAAATATGTGTCATTAATGATCCTCACCAACTGTGTTCATTTTTCACTGTTCTATTGGGATGCTGTCCTTCCTGGGTAGGGAGACTCTTCCCTCCCAGCAGCCTATGAAAGGTTCACTCCCAGAATCTTTCTTGCCTAAAGCTAAAAGAATAGTCTTCTTAAACACATTTTAGTTGAGAACTTTAGAGGATATAGTTACAACAAAATGACCCATATATAGTGAATAGGAAGTAGGATGTTTCTAGTGGGGAGAAATAAATGTCACAATTTAAAGTTAAAAAAAATGTCCAATTAAAGCTCCCGACAATAAAAAAGTTGAACCATCATGAATATTTAACATGCCTCAAATCTATCAATAAACTTACTAACATAAACTCACTTGAAATGTTAGCTTACCTGTTCTTCTAAACGAGAAAGTTTGAGTTGTAGATCAGCCACTTGTTGTTCTTTATCCATCAACTTTTCACTTGAAAGCTGTCTCTGTTCCTTCAGCCTACCATGAGCTTCACCTAGTTGGCGCTCTGTCTCCAGAAGTTTGCTATGTAACTTTAAAAAAGAAAAAAAAAAAAAAGGTTGTGTACTACCTATGTACAAACACACACTCATCACTACTGTCTAAACAATGTGTTTTTTTTTAAATCTTAATTTTCATATACTTTGGGGGAACCTAAGATCCAGCTGAATTTTAATCGCATAAATTATGATGGATCACATAAAACTGTGATTAAGCATCACAGTTTTGGGGGTTTTTGTTCTCTTAAAAATGTAGTGAACCAAAGGCTCTTTTTTGGACTTAAGTATTATAATCACCTGAGGAACTTAAAATAATAAAATGAAATGTAAAAATCAAGACACTCAGGGGCGCCTGGGGTGACACAGGCGGTTAAGCGTCCAACTTCGGCTCAGGTCATGATCTCGTGGTTTGTGAGTTCAAGCTCTACGTTGGGCTCTGTCATCTCAGAGCCTGGATGGAGACTGCTTCAGATTCTGTGTCTCCCTCTCTGCCCTCCCCAGCTCATGCTCTGTCT